GAAATCTCTCAGTAATTGTTTGTCTGTAAAGGATTTTGTTTCTCCTTCACTTATGATGCTCAGTTCGGCTGGATATGAGATTCTGGGTTGAAAGTTCTTTTCTTTAATGATGTTGAATATTAGTCCCCACTCTCTTCTGGATTGTTTCTGCCAAGAGATCCGCTGTGAGTCTGATGGGTTTTCCTTTGTGGGTGACCCAAACTTTCTCTCTGGCTGCCCTTAGAATTTTTTCCATCATTTCAACCCTGGTGAATCTGATGATTATGTGCCTTGGGGTTGCTCTTCTTGAGGAGTATCTCTGTGGTGTTCTTTGTATTTCCTGTATTTGATTGTTGGCCTGCTTTGCTAGGTTGGGGAAGTTCTCCTGGATAATATTTTGAAGAGTGTTTTCCAGCTTGGATTCATTTTCCCCATCCTCTTCAGGTACACCTATCAAGTGTAGATTAGGTGTTTTCACATAATCCCATATTTCTTGGAGTTTTTGTTCATTTCTTTTCACTCTTTTTTCTCTTTTCTTGCCTTCTCTTTTATTTCATTGAGTTGATCTTTGATCTCTAATATCTCTTCTTTTGCTCGATCTATTCAGCTATTGAAATTTGTGCAGGCTTCACGAAGTTCTTGTGCTGTGTTTTTCAGCTCCATCAAGTTGCTTATATTCTTCTCTAGGCTTGTTATTCTAGTTAGCATTTCATATAATATTTTTTCAAGGTTCTTAGTTGCTTTGCATTGGGTTAAAACATGCTCTTTTAGCTCAGAGAAGTTTGTTATTACCCATCTTCTGAAGCCTGCTTCTGTCAGCTCAACAAAATCATTTTCTGACCTGTTTTGTTGCCATGCTGGTGAGTCATTGTGATCTCTCTCAAGAGGAGAGGTGTTCTGGACTTTGCTGTTTTCTTCCTTTTTGCGCTGGTTTCTTCCCATCTTCTCTGAGTGGACGTCCTTTCTGTTAAAGTTGGGGTTATTTCTCCTGTATGAGGCTTTTTTTTTTTTTTAAACGCAGGTGTCAGTGTGCCACTTGAGACAGTCTGTCTGTTGTCTGCCTGTGGACACGCTGCTGGGCTGCCTCAGTCTCAGCCAGGCTGCTGTTTATTCTTCACCTGTTTCAGTGCTGGTGGGGTTACCCCGCTTTCCCAATGGCGGGCTCTTTCCCTCTGCTGAGCCTGCTGTTCCCAGGTAGAGGATATGTTAACTGCAAAACTCTCCCAGGAAAGGGACTCCCATTGTTGGATCTTGTGGGGGAGGGGCCTGTCTGGTCCCATCTCCGCCCCGCTTTCAACTCTCCCTTCTGTGGGACGGGCAGTTCCTTTTCGCAAGCTTTCTCGGTATTAGTCCAAATCTCTGCCCTGGTCTGCACTAACAAGGCACCGGTTTGGCTGGGGCTGCCGGCCTGGGCTGCTGCCCAGGTCTGTGACTCTGGGTGATTTTCATCAAGGTGGTGTTTTCCTGGTCTGTGTGTTGCTGAAGTCTCAGAGTGAATTGCTGTATCTGATTCAGAGAACTGAGGAGGTGTTCCCCCAGCCCCCATCCTCTGTGCCTCATACACTTTCCAGGTGGGGCAGTGCCAGCTGGATGCCTTTGGGCTGCTTTTGCTGCCTTTTTTGGGGTTAATCCTGCTGTTCAACCAGGCCCTTTAAAACAAAACTGGTACCTCATTTGGAGACTCGGATATCGCTCTGGTTCTGTCTCACTTGGTGGTACCTGCACTCCGGAAAAGCTTCCTTTTGCCCATCTTCCCCTGAATCTTCAGAAATATGATTTTCCACCTTGCTTTTCTTTTTGTCCTTGTTTGTTTGTTTGGAGACAGAGTCTCGCTCTGTCACCCAGGCTGGAGTGCAGTGGCACAATCTTGGCTCACTGCAACCTCCACCTCCTGGGTTCAGGCAGTTCTCCTGCTTCAGCCTCCTTAGTACCTGTCACTACAGGCACCCACTGCAATGCCTGGCTATTTTTTATATTTTAGTAGAGACAGAGTTTCACGGTGTTGCCCAGGCTGGTCTCAAACTCCTGACTTCAGGTGATCCACCTGCCTTGGCCTCCCAAGGTGCTGGGATTACAGACGTGAGCCACCGCAAAGGGTATATATTTTTTACAATACTGATAGATGTTTCTCAGTTGCCATTCATGAGTTGAGTTCAATTTACACTCCTACCAGCAATTTTCCCCCCGCCAGTCTCACTGAGTGCTATCAAACTTTTGGATTTTTAATAATCTGAAAAGTGGAAAATAGTATCCTAGAATTTTTTTTAAGGATAAAAACTATGAAAGCATATTATTATGCTGTAGAAGAACACTGATAAGGCAGGAGAGTGAGAGAGAGAGGGAGAGGAGGTAATTTCCCAAGTAGAATCCCTTGCTAGGCTGGAGGAATGGAATCCAGTGAATCAGCGATTCATTTAATAGGTAAACATGCAGGGGGTGGGGGGCTGTTGGTACATTTTGGGGTGAAGTCAAGTGCAAGTTTCCTTTGATTGCTTTTATTTTTCAGACGAAAAAAGAATCAAGGTTAGTTAGGAGAGAGGAGAGACTGCTGAACATGTGAGAGAAGAGATATGAATTACTTTTCTTAGAGAGTGACAGGTAACCTTATTAGGGGAATGCAGGATTGTCGGGCAGGAGTGAAGTCCCCCCGGAGGATTACAGCTCTAAATTTAAAGTGAACTTTGAAGGATGAGGAATCACTATGGCTGAAGAAGATTCCTACTTTAGGGAGACTTGAGTCAAAATGAAAAACAAAGCATTTATCGAGCATTCATTTAACAAATATTTATGAGTCTCCCTGCAGAGGCACTCTTGCCTGGGTACTGGCTAAATCACTGAGAGCAGATCCAAACATATGCCAGCTGTTCACACAAGACTAATTAAGGTAAGGTATTCACTCTGCAAACAAAACCACAAAAAGTCCTTAAATAAACTGATATGGTTAGGCTGTGTCCCCACTCAAATCTCATCTTGAATTGGAATCCCCATAATCCCTTAGGGTCAAGGGAGAGACCAAGTGCAGGTAATTGAATCATGGAGGTGGTTTCCCCCATGCTGTTCTTGTGATAGTGAATTTTCAGGAGATCTGATGGTTTTACAAGTGGCTGTACCCCCTTCCTTAGGCACTTCTTCCTGCCACCTTGTGAGGACGGTGCCTTGCTTTCCCTTCAACTTCCACCATGATTGTAAGGCCTCTCCAGTCATGGTGAACTGTGAGTCAATTAAATCTCTTTCCTTTATATAAGTTACCCAATCTCAGGCAGTTACTTACAGCAGTATGAAAACGGACTTATTAATACAATGCTCTTGAATGGGTGTGTATATGTGTGGTATTTTTTGACTCCTCTGACAGCCTCAACAAAGTCTCTCTGAAAAACAGGTACATACATAAATTTGCAATTTCAGGTGGTCCTAGAACCACAAATTAAGATCCCCTGTCCCAAATTAAGAGCCCTATTTTAAACAGTGTATCTTTCTAGAATATTTTCTACGATTCAATTTTAAGCTTTCTATGAGCAGCTTTATGGTTGTGTATTGGATACTTTAACAAAGGCTTAGAATTTGAAGTCATTTTACGTTTTATAAAAGTTGCAGGCTGGGAGCAGAGGTTCATGCCTGTAATCCCAGCACTTTGGGAGACCGAGGTGAGTGGATCATGAGGTCAGGAGTTCAAGACCAGCCTGGCCAACATGGTGAAACCTTGCCTCTACTAAATATACAAAAAATTAGCCCAGTTAGTGTCCGGCAACTGTAATCCTAGCTACTTGGAAGGCTGAGGCAGAGAATGCTTGAACCTGGGAAGCGGAGACTGCAGTGAGCCGAGATTGTGCCATTGCACTCCAGCCTGGGCAACACAGGGAGACTCCATCTCTAAATAAATAAATAAACAAATTAGATAGATAAATAGATAAATAGTAAGTAACTAAGTAAGTTGCAAAAACCAGACAAGGTATGTCTGAGAAAAAAGGAAAAAAAAAGTTGCAAAATATAGTATGGCTTTCACCTGGAAAAAGAAAACAAAGTTGCGAAAATAAGATAGTGTTTCCCTAGACTCATCAAATAGCATCTCCAAAGGTTAACATTTTACATTATGGTAGTATAATTATTAAAATTATTGATCTAATACTACTAATATGAGTTAATAGACCTTATTCAAATTTCGTCAGATGTCCCATTAATGTCTTTTTTTTTTTTTTTCTTTTTCTTTTTTGATACAGAATCTCACTGTGTCACCCAGGCTGGAGTGGAGTGGCGTGATCTCAGCTCACTGCAACCTCTCCCTCTCAGGTTCAAACGATTTTCCCGCCTCAGCCTCCTGAGTAGCTGGGATTACAGGTGTGCGCCACCACTCCCGGTTAATTTTCCTATTTTTTTTTTTTTTTTTTTTTTTTTAGTAGAGACCGGGTTTCGCCACGTTGGCCAGGCTGGTCTTGAGCGCCTGACCTCAGGTGATCCGCCTGCCTCGGCCTCCCAAACTGCTGGGATTACAGGCGTGATCCACCGCGCCCGGCCTCACGTCCTTTTTCTATACCAGGAGCCAATTCCGGATTTCACGTTAAGTTCCTCCTCTGTTGCCCAGGTTGACCTCGAAGTCCTGGGCTCAGCGATCCTCCCGCCTCCCGAGTAGCTGGTACTACGGGCGTGTGCCACCCATCCTGGCCGCTAACTGCTTTTTAAAAACTTCAATCCACGCTCTGTACTTGAGGGATTTGTGTTCTCGCGCAAATTACTGAACGTCTCGGAGTCACTTTTCCGTCTAATAGACGCGATGCAATGAAGAACCAATTAAAAAAACACATTTGGGGTGGCTTCGGAAACTTTGAAGGGAAGTGAATACATTTTTCTTATTTCCCGAAGCTGGGTCGTATAATTCACTTTTTCGCCGTCCAGATCAAAACAAAGCAATTAGGAAAGCGTTGTTGTCGAGGTGTTTTGTTCCGAGATAGGACCCGTAGCTTCTCCCCCTCCCCTCCGCCGGGAGCAGCGGCTTCTGATTGGACAGCGCGCGTCCGCCACGACGCAGGAAGGCTGCCTCATTGGTCCGCGCAGTCAGGGTCCGGTGACTTTTCTCTTTAGCACTCTGGGCGCTGACCCACTTCTCTTCCTCTAAGTGAGTGCTCGATACCTTCCGGCGCCCGGAGCTGCTGGCCTAAAGGCATCCGGACGGAGCTGGGCCGGGTAACTGCTTTGAGGTCCGCCGGAAAGCCGCAGCGGCTGAGTACTACGGGTGGGAGTGGGATTGGCGAGCTTGGGTAAAAATATCTCTTCGCGCCTTTCCTTCGCTGGTCCCACCTTCCTCCCCACCTACCTCGGGCTTTTCCAGGCTTCCCCCAAAACCTCCGCACGCCCCTCCGCTGCCCTTCCGGGTACCCCCCTCCTCTGCTCGGGTTTCCACGGGGCCCGCCCTCGTCTCCTCCCTGCAGCGGCTTCTCCCTCAGGAGCGCACCTTCTTCCCTCCTCTCCGCCGCGGTTGTGCTCCCCAGCTTGGCCCGTTCCTTGCACCTCCTAGTCCTTTAAGTTTGATTTTGCCCCTCCCTGGTACCCCCGTGGTACTTTTCTCTCTATGATCCCTGCCTCCTTTGCATCTAACTGCTGGGGTCCTCCGATTCTTCCACTGACCCCAGGCTGCCTGTATACGGGTTTAGCAAATGGTGCAGCGGGGTTGTGCTGGGCGTTGGGGATGGAGATAGTGATTGGAGGTCCCTGCTTTCAAGAACTCCCTGCCCTGCGGGAGAGAGTCACTTTGTAAATGGAGTATGATAGGCCTAGTGATAAGTCTTTAATAAAGGCAGCGTAATGTTGGACTGCTTAGGGGAAGGAGTTCTAGAGGGGTTCCTCCCCCGACCCCGGCCCCCATTCCTGCTGAATTCTCAAGCAGGCCTCTGGGGGCTAAACAGCATCTTTTCATCGGAATGCCTTTGGCTTTTTCTGATGCAGAAGCTTGGCCCTAATCATGGTCCTTTTTTTTTTTTTTTTTTTTTTTAGTTATTTTGTTTGAGACAGAGTGTCGCTCTGTCGCCCAGGCAGGAGTGCAGTGGAATGATCTCAGCTCACTGCAACTTCTGCCTCCTGGGTTCAAGCGATTCTCGTGCCTCAGCCTCCCGAGTAGCTGGGACAACCACACCTGGCTAATTTTTGTATTATTATTATTTTTTTTAACTAGTAGAGGCAGAATTCCATCATGTTAGCCAGGTTGATCTCGAACTTTTGGGTTCAAGTGATCCACCCACTTCGGCCTCCTAAAGTGCTGGAATGACCAGCGCCGGGCCATCACGGTCCTTTAAACACTTGCGTTATTAAAATCTTTGTATGGGCCCTTCTTTTAACCTGTCAGAATAGGTAGAGTTTCAGAGACCATCTATCCAAGCCCTCAGGGTATTGACTGGGAAGTTGGAGGCTAGAGATAGAATGATTGCCTAGACAAATAGTGACTCAGCATTGTACTCTTGATGCTGCTCTTTGGAGTATTTCCTGAGGATTCTTTCCCAATTTTTCAATTATATAGCAGTCTTAGGGTGGGAAAACTGAAAGCGCAGATAAAACCACTAGTCAGTAGATTCCTCCAAGCCAGTGCAGGTGGCTTGTGTACTTACCCAGATGAGAGTGATTATACCTCAGGCTCTTGGAGTGAGGAATCCCTGGGGTCTGGTCCCAGCTCCACCGTTTGCTGTAGAGCTTGGTGAAGAAACTTCCTTTATCTGAGCTTCAATTTTATCTTTTGCAAAAAGAGCGTGATAAGCCCCAACACACAGGGTAATGGTAGGGATTTGTTAAGATTCTGGTTATGAAAGTAATGACTTTTAGTGTCCTGTGAATTGTAGGATCTCAGCACAGGCAAGCTCCCTGTGCTTCAGATTCATGTCTGTCTGGCTCAAATCAGCAAAGAACCTGATATGCTTTCTTTTTCCAGGCACCATGACCACCCTTGATGATAAGTTGCTGGGGGAGAAACTGCAGTACTACTACAGCAGCAGTGAGGATGAGGACAGTGACCATGAGGACAAGGACCGAGGCAGAGGCGCCCCGGCCAGCAGTTCTGTGCCTGCAGAGGCTGAGCTGGCAGGCGAAGGCATCTCAGTTAACACAGGTACTGAGAAACCCTGGGCTCTGAGAACAGACTTAAAAAATGTACATTAAATGCATATTAATTAGAAGTTGTCTAATCACTTTTAACTCTGGCCCCAGTTTCAGAGATAACCTAGCTTTTTCATTATATATGTGTCTAGCCTTTTAGTGTGCAATACAAATGCATCTGCATAGCAGCATGGTGATGAACACAGACTGGCCTGGATTTGAATCCTGCATCTCATATTTTTTATTTTTTTATTTTTTTGAGACGGAGTTTTGCTCTTGTTACCCAGGCTGGAGTGCAATGGCGCGATCTCGGCTCACTGCAACCTCCGCCTCCTGGGTTCAGGCAACTCTCCTGCCTCAGCCTCCTGAGTAGCTGGGACTACAGGCACGCGCCACGATGCCCAGCTAATTTTTTGTATTTTTAGTAGAGACGGGGTTTCACCATGTTGACCAGGATGGTCTGGATCTCTTGACCTCGTGATCCACCCGCCTCGGCTTCCCAAAGTGCTGGGATTACAGGCTTGAGCCACCGCGCCTGGCCTGCATCTCATATTAATAGTTTGGTATCTCATAAATCACAAGTATGAATATATGGGTAGTACAGATTCCTAAAAATGGCATCTTTACACTTGAACATTTTAATATTGTCAAATTGCTATCAATTGAGGTGGCAGTAATTTATAGTTGAATCAGCAATCTGTGTTTCTCCATATACTTGTCCTCCTACTGTGTTATGAAACTCATTGATCTTCGCTATTGTAGTAACTCATTGTAGGTTTATTTATTCCCCCAACTCCCACCCTTTTTCTGGGGATGGAAGAGACAGGGTTTTGCCTTGTTGCTCAGGCTGGAGTGCCTTGGTGTGGTAATGGCTCACTGCAGCCTCAACCTCTTGGGCTCAAATGATCCTTCTGCCTCAGCTTCCAGGAGGTTCCTGTCTTAAAAAGCTGGGACCACAGGCACTTGCCACCATGGCTAGCTAATTAATTTTTTTTTTTTTTAGAGGTGGAGTCTCACTTTGTTGGCCAGGCTGGCCTCACACTGCTGGCCTCAAGCAATCCTCCTGCCTCAGCCTCCCAAAGTGTTGGGATTATAGGTGTGAACCAATGCACCAGGCCCATCTTTCTTTTTAAGAGGGAACCTAAACTTCTTTTCATAATTTTTATCTTTTGCTTATTTAAAAAATGGGTGATTAGTGTTTTTCTTCTTGGGGAGCTATAAAGGAAATTAGTCTGTGATATGAGTTACAAATATTTCTTTGTTTATTGTCTTTTGACTTTATGTTCTTTTACTGGATGAAAGTTTTTATTTTTATGTGCTTAAAAGTGTTTTACAGTTTCTTAATTTTGCTTTTAACTTAAAAGGCGTTTCTTCACTCTACTTTATAAAGGGCCTCACTTTGCTGTATAAAAAGGTTCTCCTTGCCAGGTGCAGTGGCTTACGTCTATAATCCTAGCACTTTAGGAGGCCAAGGCTGGTGGATTGCTTGAGCTCAGGAGTTCAAGGCCAGCCTGGGCAACACAGTGAAACCCCGTCTCTACTGAAATACAAAAAATTAGCTGGGTGTGGTGTGCACCTGTAGGCTCAGCTACTTGGGAGGCTGAGGCAGGAGAATTGCTTGAACTGTGGAGGCGAAGGTTGCACTGAGCCAAGATCATGCCACTGCACTCCAGCCTGGGCAACAGAGAGAGACTCTGTCTCCAAAAAAAAAAAGTTCTCCTGTACTTTTCATTAGTATTTTTGTAATTTCATTTTATACACTTAAATATTGATTCATGTGGAATTCACTTTGGTGCAGGGTGAATTAAGTAGGCCTCCAACTTAATTTTTTTTTTTATATTGCTACTCAGTTGTTTGAGTACTGCTTATTGAATAAACCAACTTTATTTTGAGATGTCACATTATGTGCTGAATTTCTGTTTATGTTGGATCTTTAGCTGTACTATGTAGTCTCTTCCATTGATTTGTCTTGTACTGGGCTATGTTATACTGTTTTTAATTATTGTGGTGTTATATTTTAGTATTTGATAAGGCTAGATCCTCTTCAATTAACTTTTGCTTTATTTTTTCAAAGGGAAATTTAGGAGCAGGACATATGTGTGTTCATGTATTTTCATTGGGAATGCATTAAAGATATAGATTAGGGATCATTGGCACTTTTGTGATGTTGAGTACGCCTGTTCAGGAACATGATACTGCTTTGCCATTTATTCAAGTCTTATTTTTTGGGAGCATTTTAAAGTTGTCTTCATATAGATTTGTATATGTTTTTTTCTGTGGTAACAAAAGACTCTAAAGCTTTAGCGGCTTATGATAACAAAGGTTATTTCTCAATCATGTTACATGCAGCCTGTAGGTCAGTGGCAGCTCTGCTTATGCTTCATATGTTCTCTCATCCAGGAGCTAGGCTGAAGGAGTAACAGCCTTAATTTGGCTGCGTCTCTCTATTTGGGACACACCGTTTTCATGGTGAAGCATAGAGAGCAAGAGAGGAGCTGTTGGAAACATGGAATGGCTCATACATGGCATACTTTTGTTTTGCTCAGACATGCCATACTTCATGTTTGCTCACAGTCCCATTGGGCAGCAAGTCACATTGTCAAGCCCGGCATCAGTAGGCTGGGGATATATGTACTCATCCCACAGGAGGTACCACAAGTCACATAGCAAGGGGCAAGGACATACAAGTCGTTTGGCAGCACAGAGCTTGGGAGGTTAAGGGTAGCTTGAACAGTAATACAGCCTGCCACAATCTTGTTACAAAAAATTCAGATAATATAGAAGTATAGAAAGAAAAACGTAAAAGATCTCTCCCACCAGCCCCCTTAGATCCTTTTACCTGGAGACAACCACTGTTAACAGTTTACATATCCTGCAAGCTCTTTTTCTGTGAAGATACAAGTGTATACATCAACATATGTGCATATCTACGTACATAAACATTTTAAGTTCTTTTTATAGAAATTAGAGGATTATACCATGATATTCTACGTTTTGCTTTTTTAATAACCTGATATATTTGGAATATCTTTTTTTTTCTTTTTTGAGACAGAGTTTCACTCTTGTTGCCCAGGCTGGAATGCAGTGGCATGATCTTGGCTCACCACAACCTCTCGCTCCCGGGTTCAAGTGACTCTCCTGCCTCAGCCTTCCGAGTAGCTGGGATTACAGACATGGCACCACCTCGCCCGGCTAATTTTGTATTTTTAGTAGAGATGGCATTTCTCCATGTTAGTCAGGCTGGTCTTGAGCTCCCAACCTCAGGTGATTCACCCATCTCAGCCTTCCAAAGTGCTGGGATTACAGGTGTGAGCCACTGTGCCCAGCCTATTTGAAATATCTTTATGGTAGGAAACATAGAGCTGCTTCATTCTTAGAGTTGCTTTACTTTCCTTTGAGTAGATGAATCATAATTTTTAAAACTCATCTCCTAGTGTTGGGCATTAGTTTGGCACCTGTTGCAGGCTTGCAGGGCATGTCATTGTGTATAGGCCACTCTGCCCTGTGGCAAAGTACACAGAGGCCCCTATGATGATTGTGCAGTAGATGGAGCAAGATTCAGATTACTGAGACCAGCTCAGCAGTAGAGACCCTGAGCTGAAGGCATTAAGAAACACCCAGGTAGAAAAGCAAAGTGGTGCTACATGGGAGGCCAACAGTCTTCCGAGCTGGGAGCCTCAGGGGCTGACAGCATTCTGGGCGGAGGGCCATGAGCAGACTCTGACCATATAGTTAGTCTCTCTGAACAGGTGGTAATTATTAACAAAAGGTGTCCTGTGTTTTCTCATAGAACCAAGATAGACTAGGGAGGCAGCTGGTGCCTACTTAACCACTGATAAGGAACAAACCAGAAAGTATTCTCCACAAGGGAGCCCCTGGGGCAGGGTCACATATCCCGTGCTTAAAGAATTGTTTTAACTGGTGTATGATATACATATACTGCTTTGCTACTTTAGAGTGCCCCAAGCAGTTTTCCACTTGGCGGTGGGTGGTGGGGGGGGAGCAGCTAGGTTTTCCTTGCCTTTGTCCTTCTTAGCAAACAGTATAATTTATTATACACTCAGCATTTCTCAGCAATCATACACTCAGTCTTTCTCAGCATCAGGTAGATGTGAACTCCTACCTACAGATGTGAGCTGGTCCATAACTCCTTGCCCATTCTTCTCGGTCACATCCTTGTTCACCCTACTCAGGTCCAAAAGGTGTGATTAATGACTGGCGCCGCTTCAAGCAGTTGGAGACAGAACAGAGGGAGGAGCAGTGCCGGGAGATGGAAAGGCTGATCAAGAAGCTATCAATGACTTGCAGGTCCCATCTGGATGAAGAGGAGGAGCAACAGAAGCAGAAGGACCTCCAGGAGAAGATCAGTGGGAAGGTAATTAGCACTATCCAGGCTTTTCTTAGAAGCTGCTCTGACTGCTAGAGCCGGTTGAGTGATCAAGAGGTGGAGGATGCTTGATTTGGCCTCCAAAAAGTAGTGCAGTGCAGGAGAAATCATAGAGCCATGTCAAAAGTCATACATACCTAGCTTAGAATCTCAGTTCTGCTACTAGTGACTGTGGGAAAGAATCTTCCCTTTTGAATCTGGTATTTCAGTGGTTAAATGATGTCAGTATCCTCCCCGAACAGGGCTGTGTGGTTAATATGCCCAATATAGTGTCTGACCTATTGAAAGTGCTCAGTAAATGTTAGTTTTCCTTCTTTTATTGAGATTTTATCTTGGGCCAGAAATAACTCTGAGGGTGATGATACTATCCCCTTTTTACAGATTGTGATAGCAATGCTCAGAGGCCATTAGAGACTTTGTTTAGGGCAGTGCAACTGGTAAATTCCAGTAGGAGCTAGGGTTCTAACCCAAATTTTCCTGTTTTTTTTCCATGATGTTGCTGTTTCATCTGAACCCTATTCATGGGAATTTAAGGAGGCATTATAATAAGCAAACAGATACGCTGGAAGATACTTGCAAGTAGGTCCCTGATAGCCTTTTTTTTTTAAAAATAGAGACAAGGTCTATGTTATCCAAGCTGGTCTCAAACTCCTGAGCTCAAGTGACCTTCCTGCCTCAGCCTTCCAAAGTACTAGGATAACAGGTGTGAGCCATGATGCCTGGCCCCTGATGGCCTCTTATTCAATCAGTATTAAAAGGGATTCACTATTTCCCTGGATGCCCTCTGACTGTGGATGAATGTCTGTGAGTGCTTGAGATCATTTAGCTATGGCCCAAAGCTAAAATATCACACAGCATCAGAGAGCAGATAAGAGGATTAAGCTGGGAATCATTCACCTTGACGAGGAGGGTGATTTTAGACATTAGACTTAGCCAAAGACTTCTGTATGTCAGAAGAAGACTGAGATGGAGTGGAGGGCTATGAGATGGGAAGAGAATCGGCAATAGTGAACTCAGAATGTTGCTGATTATGATACAGTAACAACATGTGTTCTGATCTGGTGTGATCTCCCACTCCCTATCCCCTAATATAGACAACATTAGGCAGAGTTAGGATTTATTGGAGGAGCAGGGATGCACTGCTGCATCAGGGCAGAAGGAAGATGCTTTTGTAGCTGAAGCTGTCTCTTGGGCATTGTGCCTGCCACTCACAGCTGCTTCCTTACACTGAGGTGAGAGGCCAGAATCAGGCAATATCATATCATCACATGGATCAGTCTTAAAAGAAGCTGTTCCCGTCCTGCTGATTTATCTGCAGTAGAACAGAACTGGAAACTGTCTGAATGTCAGAATTAGGGAATTGGTTAAGCAAAGTGACACATTATATAAATTTCATAAAAATATTTGGAAACATGAGGAAATACTTAGAATCATGCTAAGTCTCAAAAGCAGGTTATAGCTTAATTGGTACACCCACAGCTGCTGCTATAAAAGCAAAACTATTTCAGTATGTGACTGGTAATAAAAAGAATTTTTAGAGTCCATATGACTGTGTGTGTGTGTAGGGGGCGGATTGTGTGGGGCAGGGATTATGAGGGTTCTTTCTAAAATTCTATGATGTTGTGTTCTCTTTTAAAAAGTGGATAAAATATTGTCAAGATTGACAAAGTAAACTCATGAAGTGATTATGATGCTATTTGGATTGAGAGGCGATGTGATAATGTAGTTAAAATCATGGGTTTTAAAATCTTAGTTTGAGTCCTGGTTTACACTTACTGGGTGCACTAGTCAAATGATGTCAAGTTTTGGAACCTCATTTATAAAATGGGGCCATTAAAAGTCCCTTCCAGATGGAGTTGTGGAGTTCATGGAGATATAATGCATATAAAGTACTTAGTATGATGCCTCATATATTATCAGCATGTAGTACATGCTAACTAGTTGTTTTATTTTTATTTTTGGAGACAAGGTATCGCCCTGTTGCCCAGGCTGGAGTGCAATGGCATGATCTTGGTTCACTGCAACCTCCACCTCCTGGGTTCAAGCGATTCTTGTGCCTCAGCCTCCTGGTAGTTGGGACCACAGACGCACACCACCACGCCTGGCTAACTTTTTGTATTTTTTTTCTTTTTTAAGGAGAGACAGGGTTTTGCCATGTTGGCCAGGCTGGTCTTGAATTCCTGACCTCAAGTGATCTCCCCATCTCGGCCTCCCAAAGTGCTAGGATTACAGGTGTGAGCCACTGCGCCCAGCCCATATTAACTGTTATCACGAGTGTTCAGTTTTCATATTTATGCTCACTTGCTGGTCCGCCTGCAGATGACTCTGAAGGAGTTTACCATGATGAATGAGGACCAAGATGATGAAGAGTTTCTGCAGCAGTACCGGAAGCAGAGAATGGAAGAGATGCGGCAGCAGCTTCACAAGGGGCCCCAATTCAAGCAGGTTTTCGAGATCCCCAGTGGAGAAGGGTTTTTAGACATGATTGATAAAGAACAGAAAAGCACTGTCATCATGGTTCATATTTATGAGGATGGCATTCCGGGGACTGAAGCCATGAACGGTTGCATGATCTGCCTTGCTGCAGAGTACCCAGCTGTCAAGTTCTGCAGGGTGAAGAGCTCAGTTATTGGCGCCAGCAGTCGCTTCACCAGGAACGCCCTTCCTGCCCTGCTGATCTACAAGGGGGGTGAATTGATTGGCAATTTTGTTCGTGTTACTGACCAGCTAGGGGAAGATTTCTTTGCTGTGGACCTTGAAGCTTTTCTCCAGGAATTTGGATTACTCCCAGAAAAGGAAGTCTTGGTGCTGACATCTGTGCGTAACTCTGCCACCTGTCACAGTGAGGATAGTGATCTGGAAATAGATTGAACTGATAGTCTGGTTCCATGGATTTCTCATTGTTTGGGTTGGAATATACATGTCATTGTTTATTTTTGTTCCTCCTCTGTCTTCTGGCTTTTCAGCTGTTCTCTGTAGTCCCTTTTATTTTGTGTAAAACCAAGAAATTCTTAGATTAAATCAGAATGCTGAATAATCTTGTGGCTCACAGTAAGGTGACTTAAAATTGGATAAACAGGAAGCCAGTCTTTGGAACTGTTTAGTTACGATTCTCTGGCATGACATCTCTGGTATTGTTTCCAGTCAATATTTACAAAGCATCCTAAAGACAGTGTCTTGGAAATTATCTTCAGATGATCTCAGAGATCTCTGCCAAGTCTGAGAGTATAATTCTGTAGGTAGTGTGTTATTTGCTATGTAAATAGTGCATTTTCTTAATCAAATGATTGTAAACTATATTTACTTGTAATCGGATCCATAGCTCCGGACAGTGGTTTGATTATTTTTTTTTTTCTCCCCTAGACCCCCTTCTCCACCAGGGTCTTGTTTAAAGGTTCCAGATGACACATGTTTACTTCATCAGGAGGGGTGGCCTCTGCTGCTGGATTTGATGTCCTCCTCCAGCATTCCTAAGTCTGACACAGCAGGAAGGGTCGATGCTGACTGACCTGGTGACGTTGGAAAGCAAGTACTTTATGGATTTAAACATTAGAGCTGGAGTGGGGCTGGAAACTTGGTAAAGGAGGATCTTTAGTAAGATGCCCCTGCTTGTCTTTGTCTCTTTTTTGTTTAACAAGATCACTTTTTGTTTAACCTAGATTATTTTTAAAACTTTTTTTTTTTTCATATTGGAAAACTCTTATTTGGTAGAGGAAAATTGACCAAAATAGAAGCAAAAATAAGAAAATTAAAATAATCTCTAATCCTACCACCCAGAGTGAAACACTATTAATATTTTGGTCTTCTTCCTGCCCAGATGTTTTCTGTGTATACATGGATATTTTGTTTGTTCTTAAACGATGGGTTCATTCTGAACATACTGTTTTATAGTATGGTCAGCCAATAATATATCAGACCTTTTTTCATATTATTAAATATTCTACAACTTTTAAAAAATGTGTTAATATTCCATCATATAAATGTGCTGTAATTTGCTTGGTAGTTGTCTCTTAAAAAGAAAGCAAATACTTTTTTTAAATTACAAAAGTGACAGATATTTATTGTAGCAAATGTAATAAAAACTGTTAAGACTTAAAAGCCATATAATTCCAACCAAAATTAATCCCTGTTGTCATATTCCTAGTCATTTTTCTAGCCTTTTTTCTATGTATTTATAATAATTATCATTTGAGTTTTTTTTTTTTAAACTTTAAAAATGTATATTCTAGGATCAGGGGAAATGTAATCTGGAATTAAATATTAGCTTTAAAATTCACAATTTTGATTTTCCTGGCTTTTTAGGAATTGACTAACTGTGAGAGGGTCTTGAAAGTATCTGTTGTATTTAGTCAACATGAAAAGTGCATTTTTTTTTTTTTAAACTAAGAAAAGCTCATTGTCGAAAGGGTGGAATGTGGAATGTACAGAAAATTATTAGAAGAAGGGAACTATTATTAGTCTAGCTTATTTCCTTTCAGTCTTTTTTTAAAACGTTTTTTAAAAACGTTGAATACTGAATTTAGTTCTGTGCTCTGCGTTTTTAGTATTGCATCATAAATACTTGATGTTTCAACAATTCTAAATAAACAATTTTCAGTGGCTTCATAATATTTCATTTGGATATTACAATTATTTAACCAGTTTCTTTATTTTTATTTATTTTGTTTGTTTTCTTTGAGACGGAGTCTTGCTGTGTCACCCAGGCTAGAGTGCAGTGGTGTGATCTCTGCTCACTGCAACCTCTGCCTCTTGGGTTCAAGCAATTCTGCCTCAGCCTCCTGAGTAGCTGGGAATACAGGCGCACACCACCATGCCTGGCTAATTTTTGTATTTTTAGTACAGACGGGGTTTCACCATGTTGGCTACGCTCTTCTTGAATTCCTGACGTCAGGTGAGCTGCCCACCTTGGCCTGCCAAAGTGTTGGGATTGCAGGCGTGAGCCACCCTGACTGGCTTAACCAATCTCTTTACTTTGGGTATTTAGAGTCTCAGTTTTTTGCTTAACACTTAAGGCCTTTGTGTTTTGGGCTATATTTTGGATTATTCTCATAGATTTCTAGAAGAGGAATTACTGGGCAAATAGGGACACTTAAAAATAGTTTTTACAAACCATCTTCTGTTCTCATTGAAAATGAGAATATATTATGCACTCATACACAGGGAACTTGACTTTGCTTTTCAAGAACAGAAGTTCTAAAATACAATAGGGCTGAGTGTGGTGGTTCACACCTGTAATCCCGGCACTTTGGGAGGCTGAGACAGACATAGTGAGACCTAATTTCTACAAAAAAGTAGAGAAAATTAGCCAGGCATGGTATTGTGCCTGTAGTCCCATCTACTTGGGAGGCTGAATCAGGAGGATCTCTTAAGCCTGGGAGGTCAAGGCTGCAGTGACCCATGGTTGCCCTCCAACCTGGGCGACAGAGAGCCTATCTCAAAAAAGAAAAAAAAAAAAAAAGTAAATTAATGGTAATGGAGAAATCCTAGACTATTTTTTTTTTTTTTTTGGAGATGGAGTCTCACTTTTACCTAGTCTGGAGTGCAATGGCACAACCTCTGCCTCCTGGGTTCAAGCAATTCTGTCTCAGCCTCCCCAGTACAGTAGCTGGGATTACAGGTGCCTGCTACCATGCCGGGCTAATTTTTGTATTTTTAGTAGAGCTGGGGTTTCTCCATGTTGTCCAGGTTGGTCTCCAACTCCTGACCTCAGGTGATTGCCCGCCTCAGCCTCCCAAATTACTGGGATTACAGGTGTGAGCCACTGTGGCAGGCCTGGAGTGTTAAATCTCTAACCCAGGCGTCCCCAAACTTTTTACACAGGGGGCCAGTTCACTGTCCCTCAGACCGTTGGAGGGCCGTCACATACTGTGTTCCTCTCACTGACCACCAATGAAAGAGGTGCCCCTTCCTGAAGTGCGGCGGGGGGCCGGATAAATGGCCTCAGGGGGCCGCGTGCGGCCCGCAGGCCGTAGTTTGGGGATGCCTGCTCTAACCGGTATAGTGGAAGCAGCATTGGCTTTGGATTCAGGGAGCTCTTTGTTCAAATCCCATCTGACAGTCTAGTGGTATAGCTTCTTTCCGGTGAGAAACCTAGCCTTCCTGATGTTCAGTTTCCTCGCCTGTATAATGGAAACAAAATCTGTTTTGTGGAGTTGTTCTGGGACAGTGGTTCTCATGTGTGGTGCCTGGGGCAGCACCAGCAGCAGTGGCGGCCTCAGTCACCTGGGAACTTGTCAGAAATGCAAATTCTCAGGCTTTACTCTAGACCTCCTGAATGAGGAATTCTGGGAATAGCTCAGCAAACTGTTTTTACAAGCCCTGCAGGTGATTCTGAAGCTTGTTCAAGTTTGAGACTCACTGGCCTGTGGATTAAGCTGAGAGTGTGGCGGAGCAAGTGCTCCCTGTTTTTGGTTTCCTTATTTAGAATAAATGAGGGAAGGAGCTGAAATGGGATAGCTCTCAGATTGCCTCTCTCCCTTTTTATGTGATTCTCATTTTTAGCCATGGAATTTGAGGAAAGAGGAACTATCTGTCTGTCACAAACTGTCCCAGTAGTCTTCCAGCTTTCAGTTTCGTCTGGAATGAAAGTCTCACAAAGGCACAGACTTTGTTTTCTTCCTCGTGTGCGGCATGGACAGGGGTCTCCATCCCCTGGGCCACAGATCAGTATCAGTCTGTGGCCTGTTACGAACCAGGCTGCACAGCAGGAAGTGAGTGGCCGGCCAGCAAGCTTAGCTTCATCTGTTTTTACAGCCGCTTCCCATTGTTTGCATTACTGCCTGAGCTCCACCTCCCGTTAGATCAGCGGTGGTGGTAGATTCTCAAAGGAGTGCCAACCCTATTTGAACTGCACATGCGAGGGATCTAGGTTGAGCGCTGCTTATGAGAATCTCACGTCTGCTGATCTGTCACAGTTCCCCATCACCTTCAGATGGGGCTGTCTAGTTGCAGAAAAACAAGCTCAGGGCTCCCAATGATTCTACATTATGGTGAGTTGTATAATTATATATTACAATGTAATAATAATAGAAAGAAGTGCATGATAAATGCAGTGCGCTTGAATCATCCTGAAACCACCCTCCGCACCCTAGTCAGTGGAAAAATTGTCTTCGAGGAAATCATTCCCCGGTGCCAAAAAGTTCCGGTACCGCTGCTGCCGGCACACAGAGTAAGAGCTTGGTCTGTAGGCACAGGCTGATACTACATTTGGAAGCGAGGTGCTGGATTCCTCTGTGCCTCAGTCTCCTCATCTTTAGAGTGGGATAGTAATGTGAGTCAATTCATATAAAGTATTGAACACAAAGAAGTGTTTTTACTGGTCTAGTGCCCACACTGCTTGGCACTGGGCAAAAGATGAAGACACATTTAAGAATGAACACACTGACTCATTGAATGACATATTTTCAAAGTAGGAAGTAGTAACTTTTCAAAGATGTAGATAGCAAGACTTAGCGGGGCTAAGCGACGTTTCAACTCGTACAGCTAGTGGGCAGGGCAGTGATTAAAATCAGGTTTGTGAAGTTCCAACATTTCTGTTATTTTCCTGATGTCATATGATCGATGGAGAAGGCAAACCGATCAAGTGACAGTAAAATAGAAACATTAAAAGACAGTGGAGAGAATAGAGGAAGAAAATAAAGAATTTATTTACTTTTTGAGACAGGGTCTTGCTCTGTCACCCAGGCTGGAGTGCAGTGGCATGATCTTAGCTCACTGCAATCTCTGCCTCCTGGGTTCAAGCGATTCTCCTGCCTCAGCCTCCCAAGTAGCTGGGACTACAGGCACGTGCCACCATACCAGGCTAATTTTTTTGATTTTTGGTAGAGACAGGGTTTTACCATGTTGGTCAGGGTGGTCTCAAACTCCTGACCTCAGGTGATCGGCCTGCCTTGGCCTCCCAAAGTGCGGAGATTACAGGCGTGAGCCACTGTGCCTGGTCAAAAAGTGGATTTAAAGAGCAAAAAGGAGTTAAGCTGATGGAGCCTTGGGTCTCTCTGGCCTGCCTCTGTTTCAGGCCAGAATCTCCTCTTGTATCAGCTGTGGCTGTGACCCACAATGTGCCCCAGTTGAGGGGCATCTCCTTCCTACCATGACTCCAGAGAGTCCTCTCTCCCCAAATCCATCTCTTAGGCTCCTTCCTCCATACACTGCCACCCATGTCCTGCTACAAGTGACAGCAATGGGGAAAATAGTTAACGTGGACTCTGACTCCTTGAGTAACTAGAGGCTTCATTTCCCCATTTGTAAAGTGAGGGATGAACTAGATGATCTGATCTTTTTTTGTTTTCCTCTCTCTAAGACTGGGTCTTGCTGTGTTACCCAGGCTGGAGTGTGGTGGCACAATCACAGCTCATTGTAATCTTGAACTTTTGGGCTCAAGGGCTTTTCCTGCCTCTGCCTGCGGAGTAGCTGGGACTACATGTGCATGCCACTGAGCCTGGCTAATATTTTATTTTTTGTAAAGAGGAGGGTTTCACTGCTGCCCAAGCTGGTCTCAAACTCCTGGGCTTGAGCGATTCTCCTGCCTCAGCCTCCCAAAGTGTTGGGATTACAGGCTTGAGCCATGCACCTGGCTAGATGATTTCTTCAGATGCTTCAGACTCTCACCTTGTATTAGTTAATTATTTAATCTTTTATTTGGAAAACATTAAAACCTACGGGAAAATGAAAAGAATATTACCATTAACCTCTGTATGTCCTTCACGTGGCTTCACCAAAAACTGGCATTTTACTGCATTTGTTTATCTCTGTTTTCTGTGGGGCCATTTAGTTATAGGTTTGTTGACATCTTGACTTTGCCCCTAAATATGTCACTGAGTCTCCTAAGAAAAAGGTCATGATCCTTCATAACCACAGTACCATCGTTATATCCAAGAGAATAAATGGCAATTCAACAATATCTAAAACACAGTTCATATCAATTTTCTCTACTTGTTCCCAAAATTTTTTTTTTGAGACGGAGTTTCACTCTTACTGCTCAGGCTGGAGTGCAATGGCGTGATCTCGGCTCACCACAACCTCTGCCTCCTGGGTTCAAGTGATTCTCCTGCCTCAGCCTCCCGAGTAGCTGGGATCACTGGCATGTGCCACCGTGCCCAGCTAATTTTGTATTTTTAGTAGAGATGGGATTTGTCCATGTTGGTCAGGCTGGTCTCAAACTCCTGACCTCAGGTGATCTGCC